TGCAGTGATGGGCCATCTGTAGGGAGCTGCTCTGCAGTGGATGACTTTTTGGGACTGTAAAATGGCTCTGGTGATTGCAGTGGTGCTAGCAGTGGGCCCATTTCGATCTTCTTCTGTGGGTGGAACGTACTCTGGGCACCTCTATTCCATCATCTTCCTGGAAATTCCATTCTTCCTTCTTAAACCTGATTTTGAACTTCTCTTATGAATGTTTAATTTCGTTCCTGCACTTTTCAACTCCAGAATTTCCATCCTTTCTTAAAATTGAGATATAATTCACATGACATAAAATTTGACTTTTTTAAGTATACAATTCTGTCTCTTTTGTATTCACAAAGTAATACAACCATCACCGCTGTCTGATCCCAGAACATTTTTATCACTCCATAAAGAGATCCCACACTCATTAGCACTTCTCCTTCCCCATTGCTTCAGCCCCTGACAACCCTTAATCTACTTCTCTTTTCATGAATTTGCTTATTCTGGGCATTTTGCATGAATGAAATCATAAAATATTTGGTCTTTTGTGTCTGGCTTCTTTGACATAGCTCAGTGTTTCTTTTTTTTTTTTTTTTTCCTTTTTGTCTTTTTTACTGACTGGTAACGGGATCGCAACCCTCGGTGTTGCGCCCGCACCGCGCTCAGCCAGTGAGCGGGAACCGGTCTCCACATGGGATCCGAACCCTCGGCAGGAGCGCCACCGCGCTCCCAAGCGGCGCACTCTCCAGTGCGCCACCGGGCCGGCCCGATAGCTCAGTGTTTCTAAGGTCCATTTCGGCAGGAGTGCCACCGCGCTCCCAAGCGGCGCACTCTCCAGTGCGCCACCGGGCCGGCCCGATAGCTCAGTGTTTCTAAGGTCCATCGATATTGTAGCATGGGTCAGTAGTTCATTTCTTATGATGGCTTAATGATATTCTATTGAATGGATATGAATATCGCACATTTGTTTGTTCATAAATTTGTTGATGGGCATTTGGATCATCTCCACTTTTAGCTGTTATGAATCTTGCTTCATTTGGTTCTTTTTTAATAACTTCTATTTGTTTATGTTTGCTATTTTATGAGTCATAGTCCTTATACTTTTAATTCTTTAATCATGTTTACCTTTGATTATTTGAATGTATTTGTAATAGCTGCTTTGAAGTCTTTGCCTTCTAAGTTTAATGTATTTGTTCCCTTAGGGATAGCTCCTATTGACTGCTTTCTTTTTCCTGTGTATGGGTCACATACTTCCTATGTCTTTGTGTGTTGTGTAATTTTTTTGTTGTCGAAAACTGGAAATTTTGGGTAATATATTGTAACAACTCTGGGTTCTGATTTTTTTCTCCCTGAGGCTTGTTACCATTTTTCTTAGTGTGGTTAGTAACGTTTTTTGTTAGTGTGTCTAGTCTGTACTAAGTCTGTGGTATCTGTTTCTTGTGAAGCATGTGGCTGCTGCTGTCTCTTGCTCAATTTCTAATATTGTTTTTAAGCTGGCTCCTTAGGGGTTACCCTGTATCAGCATAGCTTAATGGTCAACCAGTGGTAGGTAGATCATTGCTTATGCTTTAATCTTGTACAATTATATGCTTCCCCTTTAATGCTGATGATTTTTTTGTGTGCCTTAGAAGTCTAAGCAGTTTTTAAGTTTGTCCTAGCTTTTACTTTTCTTTGAAGTATCTTGTATTTCCTGTGTGCCTGTGCACCATCTCATGATTTCCCAGGGTTTTGTGGATATCTTGGTCCCTTTCTGGTCTCTTTTACATAGGTGGGTAGGTAGCAAGCTTATTAAGGCTACCTATAGCTGTGTTATTTTGGGGATCTCCCTGCTATCTGTCTGTTTTTGCTGACTGAACTTAAGGCTTGCTGAGCCACTGTTTCTTGCCATTAATTTGGCACTGAGACTGCTATTATTACTGACAACAATGTTTGTGGTGGATTTTTTTTTCTTTTTATGTACTTCAATCCAAATTATGTCAGCTTCCTTTGGTTTCAAGGCTTGCCTTGCCCTTGTGTAGTTACTGTGGCAACCTAGCTGGGATGGAGCGTGGGAGCAACCCCAGGCAAGAAGGTCACAGACTCCCACAGTTCCTACCTGTGGTTCTGTGGTTTTGTGAATAATCACTTTTTCTTTTGCTTTATGTAAGTGGTTGTTTTGACAAATTTCTCATTGCCTTTTGGGGAAGACCATACTTGAAGTCTCTTCTCCCTAGATTGACATTTCATTAAAAAAAAACTTAGAGATACTATGTACTGTGAAATATTTTTACTGCTTAGAAACACCTAATAGGTTATTATTTTTGAACTAGAGTTTTAAAATGAATTTTGGCTTATTTTCCTGTTACATCCCTCTAAGTTCCTATAGAATAGTTTTTGTTTTTTCATTTTATTAAAGGTTTGCTCTTTATTATTTCTTTTGTAGAATTTTGTTTGTTAAACTAGGTAAATAAAATATCTCTAGGATTATGAGCTAAAACATTTTGTGTTCTTTATTTTATCTATAGGCAAATCTTATGTTAGCTAATGATAATAGCAAACATTTATTGAGTGCTTATATTGTTCTAAATACTTTATGTGTATCTTTAACTTCTTCACCTTACATGAAATCTTTTGTTATAAGCATTACTTTCTTTAGTTGTAGACATTATTTCCATTTTGTAGGTAGGTAACTTGAAGTCTCATACCTAGTGGTGGAAAAGGAGGTAGTTAATAGTTGAAAGTCTCTCTCTCTCTTTTTTTTAAGTGAGATTGAAATAAAATCAACTTTGTCTTTTATTTATTTATTTTTTTTCCTTTTTGTCTTTTTTTACTGACTAGTAACGGGATCGCAACCCTCGGTGTCGCGCCCGTACCGGGGACCGGCAACGGGATCGCAACCCTCGGTGCTGCGCCCGCACCTCGCTCAGCCAGTGAGCGGGAACCGGTCTCCACATGGGATCCGAACCCTTGGCGGGAGCGCCACCGCGCTCCCAAGCGGCGCACTCTCCAGTGCGCCACCGGGCCGGCCCCAACTTTGTCTTTTAAAATTTTCTAGAATTCTTGAAATTTTTCTTATGATTTGGTTTGAGATGTTTATAGGATGGCTTAGTCTAGAATAGATGCTCTTCATTTTGGGAAGAATTTAAATATAAACTATAATCTGAATGTCTTAATAAAAGATAGAAAAAGGTAATACACATTCTTGCTTCTAAAGAGAATAATCATTTTTAAAGTTTCAGTTCACATGACATCAGGGAAATAAAATTTGATAATTTGCGAGGGACCATTTTAAATTTGTCTTTCTTAGAAATAAACTGGCAGGGAGACTTTTGATTGGGTAAAGATGATCATTGAGTTCCTTGTGCTGAGGTAGAGAGGAAATGGGGGTCTGTATTTCTCTTGGATTTTGCTATCCTGGTAGTAATGATTGGAGGCATAGACCTGTGGGTGGAAGGTGGAAGGAAGAATGTTAAGGAGCAGAAGAGTTATTATTTGAATTTTTTATAATTATTTAAGGATTGTAAGCTCTTATGTCTGTGATTGGATCATGGGCCATAAAGCTGTAGCACAAAATCACAATACCACTACTTGTCTAATGATAGCATTCTCTGGTTGCATGTAGAATAAGAGAAAACGATTTTTGAGGCCTGGATTTGCAAACCTAAATATACGATTAAAATAATGGTCTCATGTAGGAGTCAATTTTATGTATCTTTAAAAAATGTGTCTCTTTACTAAAAATATCTTAAAATTTTTTAGGTTTACTTACTGTATTAGTCTGTTTTCTGTTGCTTATAACAAAATACTGGGTAATTTATAAGAAAACAAAATTTATTGCTTACAGTTTCTGAGGCTGGGAAGCCCAAAATCCATCTGGTGGTGGCAACAGTGACTCAGGGGTCTCACGTTGCAAGATGGTGGAAACAGAGAGAGCAGAGAGCGCAAGAGAGAGAAAGACTCTCCTCTTCTTTTAAAGCCCTCAGAACCACGCCCTTGACTGCCAGCAACAGTGACTCAGGGGTCTCACGTTGCAAGATGGTGGAAACAGAGAGAGCAGAGAGCGCATGAGAGAGAAAGACTCTCCTCTTCTTTTAAAGCCCTCAGAACCACGCCCTTGACCGCCGTCAGGGGTCTCACGTTGCAAGATGGTGGAAACAGAGAGAGCAGAGAGCGCAAGAGAGAGAAAGACTCTCCTCTTCTTTTAAAGCCCTCAGAACCACGCCCTTGACTGCCATTTTTAATCCATTCACTATGGCATGGTGCTGCAATCCAATCACCTCTTCAAGGCCCCACCTTTTAGTTACCATGATACGATTTCCCACCCTGTTAACAGTCACAGTGGGGGCTAAGTTTCCAGTACATAAAACTTGGGGGACACAATTCAAGCTTCAGTGAATTTTGGGGGGACATAGTTCAGCCCACTACACCTACATTGTATACAAGTGATTCTCAAACTTAAATAGACTCTTGGATCACCTGAGGTCCGTCCTGTGTGATATGTTGTAGTTTTTATTTTGATAAAATTTAATGACTTCCTGAGGGTTCTATCATTTAACACTAATTAAAATGACCAGTTCCTAAGGATACTGAATAGTAATCTTTAGCTGGTGGGTTTTTTCTTCTGCTTTTTCTTTGAGTACTTTTGATAGATTTAAAATAATATATTTTTGTGAAAGGCCATATGTTATTATAAACATAGTAGTATTCCTGTCGAATTTTTAAATAATAGACTATTTTTAGAGCAGTTTAGGTTTACAGAAAAATTGTACATGAGGTACGAACTTCCCATATATCCCTTCTTCCTCACTCCACCCCCAGCTTCTCCTGTTGTAATGTCTTGCATTGGTGTGGTACATTTGTTACAACTGACGAACCAATATTGGTATACCTGTTGATTTTGAAAGCAATTGTAATCTAGTTTAATATATGTATATATAGTTTCTGTAACCCTTCTACATGCTCAGTTCAGATAAGTATTGTTTGTTACTGATTTTTTTAATGTTCTTAAAGATAATGAAATACAATTGCTCTGATCTTTTTAGGGTGGAATAATTAATGACGGTTCTGAATTAATTGGTCCTGCTGAAGTTTACTCGGATTCCCACGTTGATACCTTTCCTGAGTGTAGTGCAGAAGGTAAGAGATTTTAATTTTTTTGCATATCAAAGATATGAGTATATAAGACTATAAATCATATCTATATTGCCGGAAATAGATGTATGTAGAAATTTGAAGGTATTTTACTGATTCTAAGATACTTCTTTTCCTTCCTATTTTAGCATCACTGATATTGGGTGCATGGTATTGGGTTGATGGTATCTCACATTTAGTTGGCAGCTTTTTCTTTCTTAATGGTATATAAAATACTGATTTATCATACAATTAATGGCAATTTAGATTTGATGAAATGTGGTATAATGAGTAGTTTGGAATTTGTGTTATTTAGTAAAAGAATGTAAAGTGTGTTTAGCAGTATTCGACTTTTAGACAATTTCAAGACTAGCTTAAAAAATTTAGTCATTTACCCAGAAAGAATAAACTTAAGGCAGTTTTAGTGTTTTTGATATGTTTTCTAATAACATGAGCCTAAACCAAAAGCGATTTTTGTACTTTTAATCACTTTAATTCAAGAATGCTTAATCTCTTGTTTTATTCCTCTTTTAAGCCATTCTTGAATTTATATGAAGATTTAAATTCATACATTTTAGCCTGTGGATTTTCATAACTAGTTTTCTTTCAGGGAAGATTATGGAATTAAAAAAAAGAGATTTGGGAATGGGGTGGGGAGTATCTTTAAAAAGAAAATAGATAATTAGATTTGTTTGAGGTGGCTTAGGTTTGGTTTATTAAAGGTGACATTATAGACTAAATATTTCCTTATCTCTTCCATGAATAAGAGCATGGTAGAGGAAGAGGCTTTGTGATTCTCACATGGGAGGTAGCCATAGTCTCATTGTAGTGCTGTTTCTGTGAGGGTACGCACTAACATAATACATCAACAGCCATATCGACATAGATCTGTTGCAGTAAATTCCTGTTTTGATTTGGTAAGAGCAAGTTTCTATCCATTTTGTGGGCTGTGCACTTTAAATTTTTTTACTGTTGGTGCTACGACATTGAGAAGTGATTAGATTTTATTCTTTATCATTGTGCCTTCCGTCGACTTAAAAGCAGTCTATTAATTTATACCTGGTGTTCTGTGTATTGTATGGAGGCCACATGCTCCGGGGTCTCAACACCTCAATACCTCAGTACCTCAATACCTTTGACTCCATCCTGATTCTGCCATAGAAAAACATTGTTGCCAGTAATTACACTTTATAATCTGTCATGTTTTTTAGGGGAAAAAGCCCATTCTCTGTGAACTGTTGTAATTAGAGATCCTTGGTTGGGTTTGGAAAACCTGGCGTCTGCTTAGGATCCCAATGTGATTCTGATTCTAGAACTAGTTTTCTTGAAGGTGACTTTTTTGGATAACCTGATCTGGCTATTGCTTCAGATTCCCTACTCCTGAGAAAAAGGGGTACATGTTTTCCATCTGTAAACCAAACTGATTCTGTGATGTCCAATAGAGAATAAGTAGGAAAATTAGAAAGATTTGTAGGAGATGTTCAATGAGTAGTGCAGTTCTTAGAAATGCAGAATATTTCTTTTCTCTCACTGTTTATTTTTTTGGTACAGGAATCAAAGATTATGTGATGTGAGAGTGCTTTTATTCTTTTGATATCCATAATAAGCCTTTATTAGTAGGTGGGAGTCAACCGTGGTGAGAGGAGGGTGCAAGATAGTCATGGATGGGAGTGGTACAGAGGTCTTTTTGTCCTTTGCTGTAGTCTAGGAGAGAAGGGGAAGAGCATTATTACTACGAATGCCTTTTCTTGGGAAAATGACTTTTGGTGTTCTAAAGTACTAACGGTTGTTCAAGGTGAACAGGTGGCTATTAAAGGAGATACAGCCAAAGCTCGGGTGAGCATGTAATTTGTTGTCCAAACTGGGACACTTCTAAGAATTAAAGACGAGATGCTATTAATACTTACAGCAAGACCACCAAGCATGACACAGGACTGCCCCAGGCAAACTGGGCTGTATGGGTGACCCTACCTAAAACAGTTGTTTCAGGATTTTTCTCTGAAGTTTCAAAAAGATGTGTTTTCTTTGGAAGGATTTATTTTTTAGGAACCTACTTTTATGAGAGAAATTGGGGCCAACATTTGTGTTAAAAACACAGAAAAATGCTCATGACACTTCAAAGTAATATTGACATTTTATCCTATCAGTGCAGTTTAGTTTTTCAACTATATCACCATCTCTAAAACACACTGTGATCCATGAAGAATGAAAAACAGGAAACTGGAAATGCTGTTGATGCTTACATTTTTTTCTCCTCTCCCTTTAAAAGCCATTTTTCCTAGTTGATTAATTCTGCTGAAAAAGCTTAGTTGACAAATACAGATAGATCAAAGTGTCAGACAGCTTGCAAATTCATTGTTATTTGAGAGGGAAAATGGCTTTTAAATATCATGAGATTGTTTAGCATAGTGGGAAAGTGGAAGAGTTACTTTGTACCAAAGGGTCTGCAAACCCCAGAGACAAGTAGGGGAGAGGACAGCTAGTAGTGAAAGAGCAAGAAAGCTGGTGACCAGCCAAACCCTACAGGTATGAGCGAAATGTAGGGTTGTAGAGGTATTGTGTTGACAAATGCTTGTAGTTTGGATGTAGAGCCAAAATTTGAGGAGGTGATTCACTCCATAACAACTCCTATGCGTGTAGTATTTTAAATGGTATTTTGAAGGTGCATTGTAATTTTTCATACTTGTGATTTAGTTTGCCAGTACAATGAGCCAGAGGAGGCAAATCTTAATATATAGTCTGCTGTTTCAGGGTCCTTCAGTTACAGTTAGAATGACAAGGCAAGTTTACCACTTCTCAGAGAACAGACGTAGAGGCTAAGAGATCATTACATTTGTTAGTACCTTAAAAATGCAATTGACAGATTCTGATTTACTTTGGAATGAAAGTTTTTGCAGGAAAACGTGAAGATCTGGATTTCTGATTTTTTTAATAGTTATTTTATATACAGTGGGATAGAGAAGGTTTTATAAAATCAATAATTTGTGATAAACTGGTAAATATATTTTATTTAATGTGAAACAAAATTATGAAATTATATGGTATGTTTTAGAAAAAAGTTAATATTGTTTACATTATTTAAATGAAATGGTGGTTACCCCTTATCTTTGTTCAAAGAAATTAAGCTATACTTTCTCAAAGATGAAAGACGATCTAATTGGTTATTAACATCTTATTTTCATTTTAAACTTCTATCTTTTTGTTGAATTAAACTTAGCCGTGCAGTTACTGTGACATTTGTGGAAACCCGCCCAAATTGGTGCATGGGAATTGAGCTTCTTGACATGTTTCTTTCATCTGTTGGCCTGTTTGAAGGATGTAGGTTGCTTTACTGCCATGCTGGCCTTTATATTGGAGCCTTTGATGTTCGTGTAGTCTCATCTGGTAACCTGTGTCATTTCCTCTTCCTAATACGTTACTTGACTTCCTTTGCAGTTATGGGAGGGACATTTTCCAGGTTCATGTAGCAAATAAGAGAAAACAGCTAGGTGATCGTAACCTCAAATATAAATCGAGAGATCAGCTTCTTATACTCTTGTGTAGTAGATCTTAAGAATGAATATTCTTAAATGTCTCCTGCAATAACAGAATCTACTTTTTTTGGGGGGGGCGGAGGGGCTGTAAAATTGTTGACTAAGATCTCCCCAAGTGCTCGTAACAGTTGTAGAGACAAGAAAGGATTTATTCAGGTGTTTTGAATTAGCCAGAATGAATATTCTTAAATGTCTCCTGCAATAACAGAATCTACTTTTTTTGGGGGGGGCGGAGAGGCTGTAAAATTGTTGACTAAGATCTCCCCAAGTGCTCGTAACAGTTGTAGAGACAAGAAAGGATTTATTCAGGTGTTTTGAATTAGCCATTTTTGAGGATAGCATCTATTGCTGGTTTTTGTAAGTGATTCCTTGAAATGACATTTAGCCCAAGACTTGTTATATTTACTTGATGGGAGGATAAAACTTCTTTACCATATGTAGGTAGGCATGAAGATTGCAGTTAAATTGTTAATTTGAATGGTGTTGATATATTAAAAGCATTGGGGGGTTAATTGGAAAGGTGTATAGTTACTTAGGTTTTTTTTTTTTCTTTGCATGAGAAACTCTTTAGTTATTTAAGTTTGAAAAAATTTCTGTATCAGTATACCATTTCTTTTTTTTACTGTGCGATTTTCATTTAGCGGATTTAAAGTTGACACTTTGAGGCAGGATCCTTTTAAACGGGAAATTTCTTCAGTTGATCGGCTACTTAATAACCTAAATCTATTTTTATGATAAAGTCTATGCATTAGGGTGTAGCGTAAGATGAGAAAAAAGTCTACCTAAAAGTAATTTAAATTTAAAGTAGAATTTAGTGCATATGTCCACTAGGTGGCACCATGAGAACTCTTAATTTTGTCACTGGAATTATTCTAGGCCTTCTATTATGTTAGAGTATCTATTGCTTAATTAGTTTGAAGAAATTCTTTTTTTCTCTTAAGTGCTTATTTACTCTGTTTTATTTGTTGCCCCTTATTAATTGAATTTGCTTTGGTGTGGGAGCTTAAAATAAATAGGAAAAAAGAACAGGTCATTTTTCTCAAGATAAGCACAAGTGAAAATCTGTTAGTGTGAATGAGTATGTGTGCATATAAAATAAATGGTACAATGATAAAAATTATAAATATTGACTCAAAAATCTTAGAGCTATTGAGGGTAATATTGTACATTAGGAGTTTAGGAGTTGGGTGGGGCAAATAACAGAAAATTCATGATATTGGAATCAGGGTTTTAGTGTAGAAGACATTAGAAATGATATAGTTAATGTATATGTAGTTAATATATAGTTGAATGATATAGTTAAGGGATTTAACATCCCTTATTTTACAGCTAAAAATTGGGAGTTTCAGAGAAGTTAAGTCACGTGCCCAAGGTACTCCAGGTATTTGGTAGCGCTCACAGAACTATATTTTGAAATGAGATTTGGGGGGGAGGCTGGGGGGAGGGCAGGGAAAATACGTATTTGCTATAGAA